TCTCTCTCTCTCTCTCCCCTCTCTCTCTCTCTCTCTCTCTCTCCTCTCTCTCTCTCTCTCTCTCTCTCTCACACACACACACACACCTGGCTTCATGACAGGGTTAAAGTCCCAACGGGAAGAGCATCCTTTCTCCTCCACTGTCTTGGGTTAGGGTCCCTAAGATGGCCGTGAAACCCCCCTCCCCCCCCAAAAAAGGCAAACTTGGCGATGCGTCCGTCCGTCCGTCCCGTGTGGGAAGAGAAGTCATGTGGATAGATAAGGAAATTGTGCAGGAAGTGAGCTGGAGGCAACGGTCCCAACGAGATAAGATAGTTGTAGAAAGATGATACGAAGGAGTGGGAAAGTTAGTGAACGTTGGTGGGGGTGGATTTTGTGTTTGGGTGGGGGGGGACCTGGTTCCCTTGTGCTGGAGGTGGGTGAAGAGTTTTCAAAAGAGGGAAGGGCGATTTGCATCCCACCCACCCGCACTCCCGTTATTTATACCAGTGTTTCTCAACCTTGTCAACTTGAAGGTGTTTGGACTTCAACTCCCAGAATTCCCCAGCCAGCATTCGCTGGCTGGGGAATTCTGGAAGTTGAAGTCCAAACACCTTCAAGTTGACAAGATTGAAAAACACTGATTTATACTACCAAACTATATACCTTTTTCCAAATTGGCATCATCCACTCTGCCGCTCCCAAGATTCCCAGCTGACGCCACAGAATTCTGGGTAGCCGAGAAGATGGGAAAAGCCATTATATACGTAGGATCAGCTTCACCCGTGGGCATGTTTTGTGTTTAACGTCCGCAGAAGGTTGGAGGCCAGGGAGGGGGGCAATTATGGCCTCTTTACAACCTTTTCAACTCCCAGAATCCCTGAGTCGGCCAGTCCACCGGCCACAATGGGGGCATAGTTGCAGATCCCTATGGGAGACGGAAGCAGCGAGATCCGCCTCTTTTCAAAACCTTCCTTCTACCGCCACAGTGTTAGTTTCCCTGGTGTGACGCACTTCCCCACGAGCAGCGTGGATGGAGGTCCCTCGGAAGCTTCCGGTGCCATTCATGTTTCATTTCACAGGACGCTGAGCCCACAGCTTCTTGCTCCCTAGAACGTGGCCAGCCGGGGTCCCCCCGAGGGGATGTGCTGGTAGAAGACCCCCCACCCCCCATCATTGTGTCATGTCCAAATACTTGCCTCCAATTTCAAACAATTAAAAGGAATTACCAAATCCACACCCAACCAGCTGCTCTCTTCGTTTGCTTGCTTGTGTGAAGGTGCCCAGTTGACCCTACTTGAGTTCTGCCACCAGCCTGCTCTGAAAGAGGCTACTGGGAGTCATGGGTATAACCGGTTGGTTCGCCAGGCCAATATAACTCAAGCCATCAAAAGGTGTTCAGAGCTGGCAGGGGGAGGCCTAGTTCCAGGGTGGGCTTATGCGTTGGTGAAGAGTTGACTTTGGCCAAAGGTGAAGACACCAGTTTGGGCAAAAGGGGCCAAGATCGGCTTTCCGTCTCTCAAGAAGGACAAGCTTGAGGACACCCTGTTAAGACTCCACTGCGACGCCAAAGTCTCCGGAGGGTGATGCTGTGTTCGTCATCCTTTTGAGTAAGTCGGGCCAACGTGGGTCAAATCGATCCAGCCGGGTCTCTTGTTGGCCTCCCGCCCTGCATGAAACCAGCTCGCCCCTTCTGGTTGAATTGGTTGGAGCTCCCCTTCCTTGAACCACTTCCTGAGCCTGGAGGATGTGGGGACGATGGCTGTGGGGAAAGGTTCTCCGAGGTC